TAGGATCACAGAGTTGGAAGGGACGCAGTGGCTCAGCGGCTAAGATGCTGAGCTTGTCGATCAGAAAGGTCGGCAGTTCAAATCCCTAGTGTAATGGAGTGAGCTCCCATTACTTGTCCCAGCTTCTGCCAACCTAGCAGTTCGAAAGCATGTAAAAATGCAAGTAGAAAAATAGGAACCACCTTTGGTGGGAAGGTAACAGCATTCTGTGTTTAGTCATGCCGCCCACATGACCACGGAGACGTCTTTGAACAGCGCTGGCTCTTCAGCTTTGAAACAGAGATGAGCACCGCCTCCTAGAGTCGGGAATGATTAGTACATATGTCCAAAGGGAACCTTTACCTATACATCAAAACCGAGATGCAATCTTGTAGTATCTTGTGACAATGCAGACTCTGCTCTCTAGATTCTATCTGTGACGGATGTAACTTCTTCCTTATGACTCAGTGAAGAAGAGGACAATAAACTCTCTGCTCAGTGGCTACAATTATTTCTATGATTTTACATATTACTTGATCACTAGGAGGCAGGAATTGCAAGACTATATACTGAAATATTTATGCATTTGGGTAGCTAAGTCATGAAACCTCTAGTAAAGAGAAGGACCAGGGGAGACATGATGGTAGTTTTCCAATATTTGAGGGGCTGTCACAGAGGTGAAGGGGGAAAGCTATTTTCCAAAGCACCTGAAGGCCAGACAAGGAATAATGGATAGAAACTGAACAAGGAGAGATTCAACCTGGAAATAAGGAGAAATATTCTGACAGTGAGAGCAATCATCCAATGGAACAGAATTTGCCTTCAGACATTGTGGAAGCTTCATCACTGGAAGCTTTCAAGGAGAGACTGGACTGCCATCTGTCAGAAATGGTGTAGGGTTTACATGGGCAGAGGGTTGGAATAGATGACCTACAAGGGCCCTTCCAACTCTGCTAATCTGTATCTTTGCAGTAACACTTACCGGAATGTGGTTTCTGGAGGCAGATCCTCAATTACATAAGTTGTGACTTTTCCCACTGACAAAATACTATCTCCCAGTTCGATATTGTAAGATACAATCTCAGAGCCATTATTGCACGGTTCCTCCCAGTTCAATACGAGGCATACAACAGGCATTGGACAGGTATCCAGGTGCTCATCCTCTGATACGTAGAGGATGGTTACAGCCTCAGGAACAGACGCTGGGGCTCTGCAGGATACCAGGTCACTGTATGATCCTGCTCCTGCCTGGTTTATTGCCTGGAAAAAAAATAGAGATTCAATTTCATTATTCCACAAACTAGCAACATAGTTGGAAGTCAGAGCTAAAGAGAGACAAAGATCTAGATCAGGGGTCAGCAACCTGCAGCTCTGGAGCCACATGTGCTCTGCTGCGGCTCCTGTTGCCGGACGGCTCCACAATTTGATAGGGCTTTCGTTAGGATAGGTAGAGGAAAAGGGATGCTGTGCTAGGAGGAAACTCTATGGTGTGGGAACTGGATTTTTGGTCGGCAGAGGAAAAAGGATGCCGTGCTGGGAGGAGACTCTATGGTGGGGAGAACTGGACTTCTGGTTGGCTCCAGAATTGAATGGGGGGCTTCTGGTTAGGGCCTTCGTGACTCTTTGGGTGTTTACAGTTGCTGACCCCTTATTTAGATCAAGGGTCCCCATCCTCTAAGCTGTGGCCCACTACTGGGCCGTGGCTTACTCGCAACCAGGCTATGTGAACGGCGGTCCAATTATTTGCTGAAATGAAAACTCCTTGAAACTATTCCCTAACTCTGCTTTGTTTCTCTAAAAATGTCACCTTTTACAGTAAGTCCCAAAGGTGCATATTTTTTCAAGAACTTTCAAGAACTGAACTTTCTGTTTTTTTCTTTGAAGATGTTTAGCTTCTCATCCAAGAAACTTCTTCAGCTCTGACTGGATGGTGGGGAATGGAAGGTTTTATTCTTCCTGCAGACAGCTGGGCATTTGCATCCTTTTAGAGGGTCATTGAGGCCACCTGGAGGTTTATCTGTGTCCTCAGGGTCATTGGAGTGGTGTAAATAGTTGTGGAGCCTTCTTGGAACTGTTGAAAGGACTGTATTGTTGATTGGAGATAGATAATAGCATGTCCTGCCCCCTCTGTTGACAGAAAGCTGCTCAATTTTTGACATAATTGGCCTCTTTAACTCCCTCTTTCAAACCAGTGGTCCTCTCTGTCCAAAATATGGACTCTGTTGTCTTTAAAAGAGTGGCCTGTGCCTTTTAAATGCCGGTGGACTGCTGAATCTAGTCCTGATGTGTTTGTTTACCTACGTTGTGCCATGCGTTTAGGAAATGGTTGTTTCGTTTTCCCAATGTACGCATCTCCACATAGCTCACTGCTTTGTACTGCATATACATTGCTTAGTTTCTGCCTGGGTGCTTTGTCCCTGGGGTGGACCCTCTCACCCTCCAGTCAGAACTGAAGAAGCGTCTTGGATGAGAAGCGAAACATCTTCAAAGAAAAAAACCCCAAGAAAGTCTGGTTGCCTCTTAAAAAAAATGAACCATTGGGACCACCACCACCTAGATGACTGAGAATCTTCATAGCCTTTTACAGTAAGGTGATGAGGACAGCATAAATCTATATCCTCATCTTGATTTACATCTAATCCTATGTAAATTGTCTTGACTTACCTGCAGTCTACAGAAATAATGTGCTGCGGCTGAAAGTTGGTCGATTTCAAAGGAGTTGGCTGTGCCAGTATACACCAGTTCTAAATTCTCCTTGTCTTCTCCCCACTCCAGTCTATATTCTGAGATGTCAGCGCCAAAACTCTCAGGACTCTGCAAAAGAAACAGAAGTTTGCATCGTATTTGGGCCCCAAGAGATGCCCTTCTATCATTTCTGCTTTACATAGAAAACTGGGCAATCCAGGGGTGAAATTCTACTGGTTTGGACTTGTTCACCTGAACCGTTAGTAAAAACTGCTACTGGTTTGCCTGAACTGGTAGTAAAAAAAAATGCTACCACTTTGTGCAAACCAGTATTTCCGATGATCAGCTGTGACACGTGATTTATGTTAGCTAGAATCATCGGATTTCCTGCTTACTAGCTAATCTAAACCGTGTGGCACAGTGAATTACTCCCCCCACCGCTGTTCTACTTACCTTTGCAGGTGTCCTCATCCCGTTTTTGATGCTCTGTGCATGTGCAGAAGTTCCTGCGGAGGTGGTGCGTACGAGCAAAGCAACCATCTCCGTGGTCATGTGGCTGTCATGACTAAATGCCAAAGTTGCAAGGAATGCTGTTACCTTCCCACCAAAGGTGGTGCCTACTTTTCTACTTGCATTTTTACATGCTTTCGAACGCCTAGGTCTGCAGAAGCTGGGACAAGTAATGGGAGCTCACTCTGTTACGCAGCACTAGGGATTCAAACCATGATCTGCCGACCTTTCTGATCGACCAGCTCAGCATCTTAGCCACTGAGCCACCGCATCCTGCATCTCTCTCAGTTAATTTCTCTCCCTAATCTGAGTTAATTTGAATGGAGGATTGACAGGAGTCAACTATTTTCTCTTACCTCCCAGCTCACAAGTACACTTGAATCGGAAAGGAAGGTAAGGCAAGGTGCTTTACACTGCCCTGGAGGTCCAGCCACTGTGGTAATTTTGACAGCTTCAGAGTAAGTCCCATACTAAAAGAAAAAACAGGAAAAACTCAAGCACACATTGCATATAGTAGAAGGATTTAGGAGATTACAGTATAATAATATGTTCTTCTCCACCTTGACATTCTTCAGATGGACCGTGAATTGCGGTCCATCAATCAAGGAGTCTATAAGAATGTATGTATTATAAATAAATATGTATTTATTTGCTTCTTGATTAGGGAAAAAGCTCATCGTAGAAACCACCCCCAAAATTAATATAGAGCAGTGAACGTCATCTGTTTCCAAACACTTCCCTAATTAACAGTAGTGCAATTCTACAATTTCAGGCACACAAATCTTCCCTCTTCTATTTCAACATTTCATCACTGGGCTAGATTTCCATTAAAATGGAAGATGCTCCATTCCTTTCAGTGGATAAATTGAACTGTTTCTGGGTAATTCATTCCTCCACAGATAGGATAATTGCCAGCATTTATGATGGCCCCATTTATTGATGTTGTTAGTTGCAAAGTCATGTCCGACCCATCGCAACCCCATCAACAACATTCCTCCAGGCCTTCCTGTCCTCTACCAACCTCTGGAATCCATTTAAGCTCACGCCTACTGCTTCAGTGACTCCATACAGCCACCTCATTCTCTGTCGTCCCTTTCTTCTTTTGCCCTCCATTGTTCCCAGCATTAGGCTCTTCTCCAGTGAGTCCTTCCTTCTCATTAGATGGCCAAAGTATTTGAGTTTCATCTTCAGGATATGGCCTTCTAAAGAGCAGTCAGGGTTGATCTCCTCTAGGATTGAGCGGTTTGATGGCCTTGCAGTCCAAGGGACTCGCAGGAGTCTTCTCCAGCACCAGAGTTCATAGGCCTCCATTCTTTGGCGCCCACTGAAGAAGGAAATGGCAACCCACTCCAGTATCTGAAGTTTGCCATGAAAAACCCATGGACAGTGCCATTTACAATTGTAGGCAAATTAACACTGGATGCCAAGATTGGAGAAGACAAAATTTATTGAGGAGAAGGGTTCACAAAGGACCCTCTTCAAATATGATTTAGCTTTTATAGGCAATATTTTGGAATGGAACTTTCTTACCCCTCCATCATTCAAAGCCCTCACTCTGAACTGATACGTTGTTCCAGGCAGAAGATTGCTGACAGTACATTCAAGGTCTGGACCATGATAGACCTCCGAAACCACCTCTTCAGGTCCAGTCATTTCTATGCTGTATGCTGAGATATGACTGCTACTTTCTGATACAGGGGGAGCATCTGGAAAGAGATGTTGAGACAATTAATATCATTGCAAGGAAGCTGGTACTATTACATAGCCAAAATTACTTTATTTTAACTATCTATTTTCTAAATTATAGCAATAGCAATAGCAGTTAGACTTATATACCGCTTCATAGGGCTTTCAGCCCTCTCTAAGCGGTTTACAGAGTCAGCATATCGCCCCCACAGTCTGGGTCCTCATTTCACCCACCTCGGAAGGGTGGAAGGCTGAGTCAATCCTGAGCCGGTGAGATTTGAACAGCCGAACTGCAGATAACAGTCAGCTGAAGTGGCTGCAGTACAGCACTCTAACCACTGCGCCACCTCGGCTCTAAATTGTGGGTGCTCCAACATTAGAAGTTTTTAAAGAAGAGATTGGACAAGGATTTATCTGAAATGGTATAGGATTTTCTGCTTGAGTAGGGGGTTGGACTAGAAGACCACCAATGTCCCTTCCAACTCTGTTATTTCTGTTACCTTTGGCATCGACAAAATTACTATCAGTCAACTGCAAAACGTAGATTTACCCAGAACAGCTTACATCCTTGATTTTCATACATAAATTTTGAAGAAATATTTATTTATGCAGCGTATGGCATAACATACCGTATTTTCCGGTGTATAAGATGACTTTTTAGCCTATAAAAATCATTCAAAAAATTGGGGGTTGTCTGATACGCCGGGTATACAGCGAGCTGAAACTTACCGGTTCCAATCTGGTCTGAATGCCGTTAAATACCGCTGCCGTACTGCTGTACTGAGCTGTATTTTCCATGCTGGCAGCTCTGAGCTGCCTTTCAGCTCAGAATTTCCACATAGCGCATACTGCTATGAGCCAGTCTGCTCGGACTGTCTTGGAGTCAGGAAGGCGGACTGATGATGTCACACATTCTGCCAATCTGAGCAGGCCTTGTATTCATTAATAGAAAAATGCATTGCTCGCCGTGATTGGCTGGGTGCTGTATATTGTAATGGCGATACCTGACCTGACAGTATTACTGCACCGTACTGCCTGAAAGGCCAACAGTATAGTATACAAATGGCTAACAGTCAAGACCCTATCATGGCTCCACCAGCAAGAAGAAAGAAATATGAAGCCAGTTTCAAACCAAACCCAATATTTTAACAGGAAAAGTAGGGGGTCGTCTTATACACCCAGTCGTCTTTTACGCCGGAATATACAGTACATGGACTAGCAATATATATATATATTAACATTTCACCTCGGTTTGTAAAACGCAATAAAATATAAATGTTAAAAAGATCTATGTTCAAATGCCAATATCTAGGCCATCTAACCATTGAAGCGCAGCGCTGTTTATTTTTTTAAAAATCAGATACTGGACCGGTGATATGATCTCAGCTTGCAGCTGGTCACAATATGATCTGCAGTTTGACGTGGGATCCTGCAGTCACACTGAGGGGAGGATACTACGCCCCATTGAAGAAGGAAATGAATTTCAAATCCTAATAACTTACCCCACTGCAATTGTATTTCTTTATGCTTTGGTTTTCCAAGCACTCTGGGTGGTTGACACTGGTCTGGAGCAATGCTGAGCGTATGAACAAGTAAACTTTCAGAACACTAGAAAAATACAAAAATAATGCATAAGATATAAAACTATCTAGGTCTAGACCAAATTCACTTATTCTAAATTCACAATCGTTATAGTCTTATTTTACTTCAGCTATAGGCACCATATAGGCTTTAAAGGGTAAAGGTAAAGGTTCCCCTCGCACATATGTGTTAGCTGTTCCCAACTATAGGGGGCGGTGTTCATCTCCATTTCAAAGCTGAAGAGCCAGCACTGTCTAAAGATGTCTCCGTGGTCATGTGGCTGGCATGACTAAATGCTGAAGGCGCACAGAACCCTGTTACCTTTCCACCAAAGATGGTTCCTATTTTTCTACTTGCACTTTTACATGCTTTCGAACTGCTAGGTTGGCAGAAGCTGGGACAAGTAACGGGAGCTCACTTCAATATGTGGTGCTAGGGATTCGAACTGCCGAACTGCTGACCTTTCTGATCGACAAACTCAGCGTCTTAGCCACTGAGCCACCGTGTCCCTTTGATAGGCTTTACCCATGGTTAATTTAACCTTAGTTCATCCAATTTTTCCTAAATTGTGAATGAGCCACAAAGGACAACTTCACACCATTCATGATGCCAAAATGGGTTGGATAATGTATAGTTCTGTATTTTTGTCTGAAAACAGCCTCTATGCAATTTTGCTTTCCCCATGGAGAAAGAAGCATTTGGATTTGACACTCCAGAAAGAATGGAAAAATGAAAATGCGCATCAGAAATAAAATATGCTTGAGGACATTCACAGTACTTCAGGAAGCTAAAGTGTCTGTTCATTCAACTTCACTAGCAAATGGGTACCATGCTTTTAAGAGATCAAACAATGCATATGGTTTGATAAAGGACAGTATTTGAGATAGGACATACTCAAGTCTGAAATTTGTTAGTCGACTTTAAGGGATGAATTATACCACAGCCTTGTGAAAATATAACAGTGTTTTAAGAGGAATCTTCTGTTATTAATACCTAATTACTACGAGGTTAGCCTTCCTCTCTTTATATAAAACATAATCGTGGCTGGAACCGCCATTGCTAAGCAAGCCAGTGACATGAGATTGTCCTTTATTTTTGTAAAAAAAAAGGGGGGGGCATGCATATGCTTTGGGATTGCTCCTGGGGGATGGGGGCAAAATGGCCCATTTTTCACTTGCTTTCGCCCTCCCCAGCCCCCAGGAGCCCTTTGCAGGCATCCCAAAGTCTATGTACATCCATTTTTGTGAAGGGGGCGGGGTTTCAGGAGGCCAAAAATGCTGTATTCAGTGTCTAAGATGCACCCAGATTTTCACCCTCTTTTTTTGGGGGGGGAGGTGTGTTTTATACTCCGAAAAATACAGTACTTCCAAAACTTTACAGAAAACAATACAAGGTGACAGGATCACGACCTAGAACACCTACTTAGCAAAATAAAAAAATAACATACCAGATGAGCTCTACAAAAGCTGGAAAAATGGATGGAACGAACAGAAAGAAAACGGTACCCGTTGCTGTTCATTTAGTTCTTACCTGACTGTGTCCGCCAGTGCTAATACAGCATGCCCGGAGCTTGTACAAAGTGCCTGGCTTCAAGTATGCACACGTACATTCGGTGGCAGGTCCTCTATATGCAACTTCCCATTGATTTGCTGCAAGGATAATTGGACTCACTCAGGCAAGTGATAAACTGTGGCTAAGATCCTATCTAGATTTCATTTAAGTCCCTGCCTTTGCAGTGGTTTGCAGCAATAACTCCTTTATGGGAAGAAACTGGCCTAAGATCTTTTCAGTCAGGTCCTTCCCATTCAATCAGGCCCTTTCATTAGTTGAAAGCTGGATTAGAGAGATAAGGTTTTCCTTAATTGCTTATAAAAAAAGGGACCATTCTAGTTTTGGTGAGACCAATTTATATATATGATTTTCACAGGTACAGGTATGCAGGTCTTGGCGTATTTGAGTCTTTTCCCATGTAAGATTGAGAGTATCTTGGCGACGTTTTGACGAGGTCCCACTTGCCATCTTCGGGCTGGTGCCTTCGGCTTCGTGCTTGTGTGAGCAAAGCGTGATCGGAGCTGCCGTCTTTCTATAAATATTGGTGGGGGTGTGTAGAGTGCTGGCTTTGTTGCCTCAGCCACACAGGATGTTACGAAACAGCCGACTAATCCACATGCACCAACTCCATCAACTAATCAAGATATAACAACACAGTCAACCAAACTACTTACAGCAACAAAGCCAGCACTCCATACACACACACCAATATTTATAGAAAGACGGCAGCTCCGATCACGCTTTGCTCACACAAGCACGAAGCCGAAGGCACCAGCCCGAAGATGGCAAGTGGGACCTCGTCAAAACGTCGCCAAGATACTCTCAATCTTACATGGGAAAAGACTCAAATACGCCAAG